TCTTAGCACAATATCCTCCAAATTCATCCTTGTCACGATATATTTCATAGTTTTATCATTATTCTTTAGCAATGTATGTTGTTGTTAGGTGTCTTTGAGTTGGTTCCAACCCGCTGCTATGTAAAGCAAAATGAAGCACCGCCTGGTCCTGTCTCATCCTGACAATTGTTATGTTTGAACCCATTGTTGCAACCACTGTGTCAATCCATCTTGTCAAGGGTACAAGTATAATGGCCTCTTTCAGGGGCTAATCTCTCCTGATAACATACCCAAAGTCTGTGCGACGAAATTTCATCATCTTCACTTCCAAGGAATCTTCTGGCTGCACTTCTTTTAAGATAGTTATGTTTTTTCTTTTTGCGGTTCATTGTACTTTCAATATTTGTTACTAGCACCATAAATTCAAATTCATTAATACTGCTTCAGTCTTCCTCATTCAGTGTCCAACTTTCTCATGCATATGAGGTGGTTGAAAATACCACAGCTTTGGTCATTTTGAGTAGAATTGGTGTCAACTGTTCTTTGAACTCTCCTCTAAATGTTTAGTAGAATTACCTGGTGAAGCCATTGGGTCTTGGACTATTTTGTTTGTTGGGAGTTTTCAGTCTATGTTGATTTGGTTACTTAATCCATTTCTAAAAATTTGACCATTTCATCTAGGTTCTCAAATTTGTTAGCGTAGTTTTCCATAGTATTGTGTTCATATCTTTTTTATTTCAACAAGCTGAGGAAGCACTGGAAGTACTCAATCATCTGTGGCAGGAAATTTGGAAGACAGTGACTTGGTCAACTGTACATAAGAGATCCATTTTGTGCCTATTCCAAAGAAAGGTGACCCAAAAGAATGCTCAAATTATAGAACCATATCACTGATATCAAATACAGGTAAAATTTTGCTGACGATCATTCAACAATGGTTGCAGCAGAGCTGCCACAGGTTTAGGCCTGATTCACAAAACGACATGAAACCAGGAAGCTGATGCTAGATGAATCTTGGCTGAAAGTAGAGAATGCAAGAAAGATGCTTACTTGTGTGCTATTAATTATGCCAAGGAATTCTACTGTGTGAACCATAACAAACTATGGGAATTCTAGAAGGTTTCATTTTACTCTTGTGGAACTCAGACATGGATCAAGAGGCAGGGTTGTATACTCTCACCACACTTATTCAATCTGTATGCAGAGCAAATCATCAGAAAAGTTGGATTATATAAAGTAAAATTCAGTATCAGGGTTGGAGGAAGGTTTATTAACAACCTCCAATAAGCAAATAACACAACCTTTCTTGCTGAAAGTGAGGAGAGCTTGTTGCACTTGCTGATGATGATTAAGCATTGTAGCTTTCAGTATGAATTACAACACAGTATTAAGAAAACAAAAATACTCATAACTGGACCAATAGGTAGCACCATATTTAACAGAGTAAAGATGGCATTTTTCAAGAATTTTGTCCTGCTTAGATCATTGGTAGTGTTTCGTTCTGTTGTACATAGGGTTGCTATGAGTCAGAACAAATGCATGACGCATAACAACATAACATTCCTCATTTGTTTACGTCACCTTTTCTTGCTTTCTCATGGGGACTTAAATTGACTGTTGTCTTGGAGACTTCATCAACTCCGGTGAGGGTGGCTAGATTTTGTGGGGCAGTTGACTCTGTCAAGTGTTGCCAGAAAGGGTAAGAACAACAAATCAAAGTAAACGGCAGCAATAACAACAGTCACAACAAATTTAAGTTAACAGTAAAATCAATTGCAAAGAACCCTGTGAGGAAGAACCGCATACAAAACTGCTCGGCATACCAGGGATCAGCTTTCTCTTTCCCTAATATGTGATGATCACAGCACTGCCACGGTTTCACACAGTAGTAGTGCATTCATCAGTGTGTGAAGGTGGAATCTGACATTTTCCTGATTAACAAGAAGCTGTGGGGGTCTAGGGATTACATTCTGCTCTCTTTTGTGTTTTGTGTCTCTCCGTTGGTGATTTATCAAACATCAGAAGAAGAGCACCACAAGAGAAACAGAGAGGAAAAAGTAACTCTTTTCCCACAGATCTCTCTCCCACAACTGACTGCTGTGGTCGACAGGAGGGGTGAGTGTTAGCCTGGGTCTCTCCTCTGTTGCGTCTGACAGTTTATCAATATAGAGGAATGAGAAAGGGAAAAGAAACCCATAAAACAAAACACCGAAAAAACCAGCTAAGCAGCTGTCTTTGCCCCAGACCAGTCCAGGAGGTCAAAGCTTCTGCCAGAGCCCTGTCATGGAGCCCCGCGGGTGGCCCTAGCCTCTGACAGCTGGAGTGCATGACTGTTTAGGGAGATAGTAGTCACAAAGAACCCGCGATACTTCAGTCCTCATTGCTGCCTGGCTGGCCCTTTGGTGAGGCAGCCCCTGCTTCTTTTTGTTGCAAAGGAAGGACGATAACCAGCCACTGGGTGGTTGCATTCCCAGGTGTGACCTAGTCACTATTCCATGCACCTGGAGTTGTGGAGAACCAGGGGATACCTTCTTCTCTTTCATCGGCTCTGCAATGTGCTAGGAGTTGCTTGACTGGTGGTTGGCTTGAAGGTAAGTCTCACGCGGAGCTGTGTTATCATGGCAGGCAAAGACATTTAGTTCCAGCAAGTGGAGAATTAGAGAATCCTTGATGACCACTTGCAGTTTCTGTTCCCTGGTTTCTCTGTAGCTGTGTGCCGTCCACTCAGCTACGCTTCCCTCCAAGAATCAGGGCTCCAACTTTCTCTGTTGGCACTTTCTGGCTTCTTTGTTGAGGAGGAAACAAGTAGTGCATGTCTATGTCGCCATCTGTTACAAGAAGTCTCATTTCTAGTTTCAGATAGGTCTACCTTTTCTTTTTCTAAGTCGGCATAACCAATGCCTTTTCAATTTCACTAACTTTTTATAGTTTTTTTTAATTGTTCATGTTGAGGATATATGAGGCTAAGTCAAAAAATATTGCTACTGTGTTTCCAGGGTTATTCCAAACAAAAAGCATTTAAACAAATCTCTGTGATTAGAAAATGGCTACAAACATGTTCTCTTGTCAATATACTTCTCTTAGTCTCATTAAAGTCCCTTAAAAAAAAAAGGATCCAATGAACACTGTCCTCAGAGGGGATCTGCTGGTCCAATTAAATTCAATGTGGTGAATTGATGACTGATTTAGGGAGGAATTTGAAGGGGTAACCCTTTTTTCTCACTTAGAAATATTTTAACATGGTAGAATATAAATACCAAGACATTTGCCATTTCAAGCATTTTTATGTGTCCAGTTAAGCGATACTAATTATATTCAGTGAGCCTTGCAACACTTACCACTAATTTATCCAAAAATTTTAATCACCTTTAATCCAAAATTCTCTATTTCTTAAGCAATAACTTCCTTTTAATACAGGCCATAGACCTTTGGTAGTAATGAATAAATTTTTATCTCTATGTGTTTTCATATTATAACTATTTTATGTAACTGGGCTCATACAATATTTTTCCTTATTCATTAGTCTGTTCTTACTCTGAAATCTCTGCTGAAACCTGTTTAATTTTGGGTGACCTGCTGGTGTTTGGAAATAGTGGTGATACAGCTTTCAGCATCACAGCAATATAAAAGTTACCACACTAGGACAAGCTAACAGAAAAGTGACACTATACAGGCTTTCCAAGACTGCACATCTTACAGGTACAAATAGCTTCATCTTTCTCCCACAGAGTAAACTGTGGGTCAATGGCCAACTTTACAGTTAGATGTCCAATACTTACCCCATAGTTGAAGTTCTTCAGAATAGACCTCAGGAGAACTTTCAGACTAAGACTAGATTATGAAGATGGAACAGGCCATCAACTTCTCGGGAATTAGCCACTGGAAACCTTATAGCTAAGGTTTATAGCATTAAAACATCTGAAAATCTAATGAATAAAAGCAGAACATTGTTAGAGATAATGTCAGAAGATGAGCCCTTCAGGTCAAAAGGCACTGAAAATATGACCGAGGAAGAGCTAACTTCTCAAAGTAGAATAGACAGACCATAGCAATGTGGATGGAGTAAAGTCTTCAGGACTGTAATTTGATAATAGACATAACTCAAAATGAGAAGAGAAAGCTTCAAATATTAATTAATAATTGGAACTTAGAATGTACAAAGAATGAGTCTAGAGAAATTGGAAGTTGTCAAAACGTAAATGGAAAGCATAAAGATAGATATTCTAGGCATTAGTGAGTTTAAACGGACTGATATTGACCATTCTGGATCAGGCAGTCATATAATTTACTATGCCTTAATGCCAGGCTGAAGAGCAATGGTGTTGCTTTCATTGTCAAAAAGGACATTTCAAAAATCTATCTTGAAGTGCTATGCTGTCTATGATAGGGTAGTATCTATCCACATACAAGGAAACCCAGTCAATACCACTGTTATCCAAACTTATTCACATTCCACTAGGGCTAATGAAAGAGAAATTCAAGAATTTAACCAAATTCTTCTATCTGAAATTGATTAAACACAAAATTAAGATGCATTGATGATTGTTGGTAATTGGAATGCAAAAGTTGAAATAAAAGAGGAAGGAACTCCAGTTGAATAATATGACTTTGGTGATAAAAACGAAGCTGGAGATTGCAAGATAGAATTTTGCAGGACCAATGACTTATTCAGTGCAAATACTTTCTTTCAACAACACATGGACTTCTCCATATGTAACACACAGAAATCAAATTGACTACATCTGTGGGAAAAGACAATGGAGTAGCTCAATAACAGTAGCTAAAACAAGACCCAGGCCCAACAGTGTAACAGAGCATCAATTGGTCATATATAAGTTCAGGTTGAAACTGAAGAAAATGAAAATAAGTCCACAAGAGTCAAGGAACAACCTCGAGTATATCTTATCTGAATTTTGAGGACATCTCAAGAACAGATTCTACTCATTTAACAAAAATGACGGAAGACCTGATGAGCTGTAAGATAACATCAAGAACTGCAAACACAAAGAAAGCAAAAGGTCGTGCGCGCTTCGGCAGCACATATACTAAAATTGGAACGATACGGAGAAGATAAGCACGGCTCCTGCACAAGGATGACGTGCAAATTCAAGAAGCATTCCATATTTTTTTAAAAGAGCTAAAGGTCATTTAAAAACACAGGAAGGAAGAAAAAGATCAAGGTGGATGTTAGAAGACTCTGAGATTTGATCTTAATTGTAGAGCAACTAAGGCGACTGAATAGAAGAAATGATGAAGTCAAAGAGCTGAGCAGAAAATTTTGAAGGGCAGCTAGAGAAGACAAATAAAATATAATGTGAAAATACCTCAAATTAGAAGGAAAGTGGTTACTCAACAGAGTGCATTGGAGAGATGAGTATAGAATAGAAGATCAAAGGCATCAATCTGGCTTGAACAGTTAAAAAATTGTCAGGTGATCCCCTCCCCCACCCCCAAATGTGCGCTGATCCCAATCTGATTTTCAACATTTTCCATATTTTTGTTTTGTTTTTGTCTGTTCATATTAGGGTGTATCTCAGAGGTATTATGTCATTGAGGGTCACCCTCTTGAAGTTGTGTTATATGTTTTTCCATTTTTTGAAGTATGAAACCCAGGGTTGATGAACTTATTGGGATGGCAAGTAGAATAAGGGTTTTGGGGAGTGGGAGAGCACAGTGGTTTGGGGGTGTGGGTAAGAGGGAAATGATGTCAAGGAGTCCATGAAGAAAAAGAATGTTTGGGAACTGATTTGCGCAGCAATTGTACAATTCTGCTTGATGTGATCGAACTGTGGAATGATATGATACATGTATTAACTTCCAATTAGTAATAAATTATATGTAAAAACGAAAAACAGGCTTAGCGTATATTAAAGAACTAAAGAAATATTCAGGGCTCAAATTACAATATTAAAAGACACTACAGACAAAATATTGAACAATGTCAAAAACATCAAAAGAAGATAGAAATAATATACCGAATCACTGTATCCAAAAGAATTAGTCAACATTCAAACATTTCAAGATTCATGGAGCTGTGGAAGCTGATGAACAGGAAGCAGGAAAACGAAGCAAGAGGCACACATTCTGCTGCATGCAGAGGTAAATGAATCTGTGGTTGGCCATCTCCTTATGGCTCCTGGGATTGGCAGGTGACAGAGAAGGAGATCAAGGAGCCAAGTGTAGGATCCAGATTCAGTAGAAAGGGAAGAGGCAAGAACACTCAGTTATGTTCTGGGTCTCTTTCTTATACATAAGGCCACATTCCCAAGGAGGTATCATCAAGCTTTGAAATGATTGATTGGACTCTGCCTCTACCTTTACCCAGGAGTGTTAGTTGATATAAACTCTAATCACAATGTGGAACAAGAGAAATTATTGCTGATATAAGATGTATCTTGGCTGAAAGTACAGGATACCAGAAAGATGTTTACTTGTGTTTCATTGACTATGAAAAAGCATTCTACTTTGTGGATCATAACAAACTATGAATCACCTTGAGGAAAATGGAAATTCCTGAACACAATTGTAATTCCATTGTGCTCATGCAGGAACTGGAAATAGATCAAGGGGCAGTTGTGTGAACAGAACAAGGGCATGCTGCATGGTTTAAAATCAGAAAAGATACATGTCAGGGTTGTATTCTTTCACCATACTTACTCAATATGTATGCTGACCAAACAATCAGAGAAATTGGATTATATGAAGAAAAATGCGGCATCAGGATTTGAGGAAGGCCTATTAACTACCTGCAGATTATGCAATATTGCTTGTTGAAATGAAGACTTGAAGCACTTGCTGGGGAAATCAAGGATTACAAGCTTCAGTATGGAGTGCAATTCAATGTAAAGAAAGCCAAGGTCATTAAAACTAGATCAATAGATAATATTATGATAAATGAAGAAAAGATTGCAGTTATCAAGTATTTTGTCTTGTTTGGCCCCACAATAAGTGCTCATGGAAGCAACAGCCAAGAGATCAAAGAACACATTGCCTTGGGTAAATCCACTGCATAAGTATTCTTTAAAATGTTGAAAAGCAAGAAGATTGCTCTGGGGACTAAGGTGTGCCTGACCAAGCCCTTATATTTTCAATTGCTTCATAAGCATGGGAAAGTTGGACATTGAATAAGGAAGGCTGAAGAAGAATTGATGCATTTGGATTATGGTGCTGGCAAAGAATATTGAAAGTAGCATGGACTGCCCAAAGAGCAAATACATTTGTCTTCGAATAAGTACAGCCAGAACGCTCCTTAGAGGCAAGGATGGTGACATTTTGTCTCACATACTTTGGACTTGTGATCAGGAGGGACAAGTTCTTGGAGGACATCAAGCTTGGTAAAGTAGAGGTGCAGTGAAAAAGAGGAAGGCCCTCAATGAGATGGATTGACACCGTCACTGCAATAGTGGGCTCAAACATAATCCTAGGAAAAATGGCACAGAACTGGGCAGTGTTTCGTTCTGTTGTACATAGGGTCACTATGAGTCAGAACTGACTTGATGCCACCTAACAACAAGAACAGCTATTATGGAAGAACATGAAAAATTGGCTGGGATGGAGACTGAGAACCTCTTCATAAACCACATTGCATACGCTTGATTGTGACACTGCTTAGACCAGCAGTTCTCAGCCTGTGGGTCGCGACCCCTTTGGGGGTCGAACAACCCTTTCACAGGGTTCGCCCGATTCATAACAGTAGCAAAATTACAGTTATGACATAGCAAAGAAAATAATTTTATAGTTGGGGGGGTCACCACAATATGAGGAACTATATTAAAGGGCCGCAGCATTAGGAAGGTTAAGAACCAATGACTTAGACTCTGATGATGGTCTTTACATCACTTAGCCCTGAGCATTTCACTTATTTCTTAATTTCTCCTTCTTTGACTGATGAAGAAATAGATGTCTCCTCCCTAATCTTCCCCACATTCGAGACTACTTTGGAATAGAATTAGAAGAGGTAAATATACACACACACACACACCCCAAAACAAAAGTGAATTACATGCTCTCCTCCCATTCTTACCCCTGTAGATCAATCATTTTCCTTCTTTTGGCTTCTGGAATGCTTCTGATGAATCATATAACACCTTAAATTTAACATAAAGGTCACATAGGATATCTTTAATTTCATTTATTTTGTTCCAGGGATGTGAAATACATTAGAGAAAGCCATCAGAAAATGTGTGTTGCTCTTGGATTGTTTAGACCTCTAGGTAGCACTCTTCCCAGTAAAACTAGAATTAGATAGGAAAAAAGTTACTCCTTTGGAAGACTTATATCAGGTTTAGTAACACTTCTGTGGTGTTGCTCCAGAGACCTAAATCTATACAGGGAACTTTTAGCCAATAATGAAAGGACTCACTGCTAGCCTCTCTTCCTTGAGGCTTAAACAGTTGAATGTGCTTCTTCCACATTTACCTTATTTTTAATAACCCTTCTGTTCTCTCTCATCATAAGTGTTTGACAAGTGGGGTGAGGAAGACTAAATATGACCTCAATGTTCTATTAAAGTCACGACAAAGTAATTGGATTGTCTGTTGGAAACTATTTGGTGCCTAGGTCCCTACCATGGGGAGGAGAAAAAGAAGGTGTAGTGCTAGCTCCTGGCCTCCATTAGTATTTCAGGTACACAAATAAGCAAAACAAAATTCATTGCTATCTAGTTGATTCCAACTCATGGCAATTCTAAGTGAAAAGGTAAAATGGCCCCTGTGAATTTCCAAGATTATAATTCTTTATGTAGTATTCCTTCTTCCATGGAGCTGATAGCCGTTTCGAACTTCTGACCTAGTTATTAAGAGCCCAATGTGTAACTACTCTGCCACCAGGGCTCATTTCAGGTAGATAAGACACATATAAAGGAAACAGTTAAATAGCAATGTTGGAGGTCAATACATTTTTAGAGATTTTACAAGGAGTTTTTAATTGACTGCCAGATGAATGAAATAAACAGTAAAGCGATGTAGGAGTTCAGAAAGGATTAGAGTTTCCTTGGAAGAGGAGGGATTTTAGACAGACTCGGAGGATAGATAGGATTTTATTAGTGGCAGTGTGGTGGGGGGGAGGGGAAGGCAGGAATCCTGAACAGGCTAACTGGTGTAAATAAAAGATGAATAACAGGAAAACAGAGTTTCTTTGGAATACAGAAAAGGAGGAATTCATTTGGTTAGAGGAGTGGTCAGAAAGTGAATCTAAGATCTATGACTAAAGATGTAGGTTAGGCCTAATTCAAGATAATTTTCAATACCAAGCTAAGAAGCAGAGAAGATTTGCAATGAAATTAAATCTGAGTTTAAGAATTATTTTTCTAGGGAATGGGTTGGAAAAGGAGGATAGCGGGCGGGGGGGGTGTCTTAAGAATACTTTAGAAAGACAAAACAAATTAGACAAAGGAAAAACTGGAGGTCAGAAGATCAGACATCCAGTTAAGATATAATTAAGGCCCAGAAATGAAGAGAAAACGATGGGACATATAACTGCTACTGAGTTTGGAGTGAAAAGAACCTATGCAGAGGCAAGGGAGAAAGAGGTGTTATAGGTAGACAAAAGGCTTACGCCTAGGGAGATTGAAAGAAAGAACAGAAAAGGGAAAATTTAGAAATAAGGAGGTGCTTGAGAAACTAGAAGAGGTCTTTCTAAACTAGTTAGGTCTTTCTAATGATTTGCCAAAGAATCATTGACTTTGGAAACAGTAATTGACTTTTGTCATTTAAATTTCAAACTCTAGAGTCTACAGCATCTGGAAATTGTAAGTGGCATCGCTTTTTTTTGAACACTTCCAAAGATAGAGAAGTCAATGTTTAGAAAGAAGAAGCATATTTAATATTCTTAATTCTCTAAATCTTAGAAATTTTTTTCTTGGATTTTGGCCTAATATAATGAAGAGCTTTTTAACAAAACCCCCAACAATGGAAACGATCAATAATTGGTTACAAGCAAACTATCTGAAAAACTACAAGTCAGAATGTTCTACAGAAAATCAATTTTTCAACTTGGCAGTTAGACTAGATGAAATCCAACATTACTTTCAACTTGAAATTTTATGATTGCGTGATTTTATTAACCCGATGATCAGTTGGCTTTAGAGAGCCTTGTCAAAATCACAGTTTACTGTGGCAGACTTTTTAT